TTTTTCCAAAAACATAAATTTTTTCTTTTGTCTCAACTGAAGTGGAACAAATAAAACAACGATCACTTTGCAAAACCTTCTTCAGCGTTTCCTCCAGCAAGAAACTACGATGAAATGCAGAATTTGAAAACACGGGAATAACGATATTGATTACAATCTCTTGTGCTCTGATTCGTCACATAAGAAACGATGTCAGTGATCGCATTGGTGCAAATACGACAAAAAGAAAGGAATGTTGTTCGAATGTGAGCAGCCGTTTGTGGGGAGGAGCGTTGCGTGACGAGTCTAAAAACGGCTGCGAGGGAGACGAGGTTTTCACTAGCGACGCCAGCACAAGCGCAAGCACAAATACTCTTATTTCTCTTCCATTTCCGATTTTCACCGTGATAGAAATCACAGCAACTGTATGGGTCGATCTGCACAGAGGACAAAACCGTTTGTTTTACCTTAGTAGTCTGTCAGCACATAACTTTTATTGGTGCGGACTGTTTCTCCTGCAAGGACAAAATATTGACTCGGACAAATTTATCAAAGGAGCCGCTGTCCTGCCTTAGAGGCCTAAATTTCGTTCCGTGTTATCTTCTTTTGTTTTCGTGACAGGCGTTACTGACAAGCTCCGGTTTTTTCTGACCTCTTGCAATATCAATCGCAATGTAATACACTAATGATCACGTTCAACTGATCGAGCTACACGCGTGGATTATGCTTTCTACTTGAACTGAAATCCTAACAAATGGAGTGTCTATGGTCCCATACACAATTCGCCTCAGTGGTGTAAGTGGTACGCAGCAGAATGTGCTGGTACCATGGCAAGATAGACCGTGATAAACTTGTCGATCATTTGTCGAAAAAGCCAAGACCAGCGTGTAATTGTACAAAAATCAGGTTACTAGGATGGCAGTAACTGTCTTTAATTGCAAAACTCAGGGATTCTAAAACTTTAAAACGACTTACAAGAGTCCTGGAAATTAGACTTGGAATAGTTTGGCAAATTAAGTTATGCGGGCTTATAGGAGCAGATCAGACACTGACAGGAATTGACGGCTTTGAATCCGTCTTTAATTAATGCACAGACTAAACAAAAATGTGTCATGTCAAAATGTGTCCTTTGATTTTGCCCAGGCGGTGTGTGCACTCTGATTGCGTTTCATCATGGTCGTAAAACAAAAATTGGGTCGTTTGCATCTTAACGCGTTGGAGTGAACTTCTTTGGTGGCAGCGAGATAGCGTAAATATACGTGGATTGTAATGGGATTCACTGTCTGTTACCGTTCCTTCGAAAGTTAGAAAGTTTGACGGGCTTGCGCGACTTCCGTCATTCCTCCATGAAGAATTCGTTCTTAGGAGGCAACTGACGTTATTAAGAAAGACTCAAAATTGCAATCTGCCTTAGAATCTCGACACAAGTGGCAACAGTTACACTCGCAACTGTTGGCGGAATAAATAATTTCAAAGTCAGTAATTATATTCCTAGACACGAGTTATTTAACAGGGAACAATTGACCCTTGATATGCAAACGCATATTAAAGAGACAAAGACCCTGTAATACGCGAACTTCTTCCACCAAGCGTAAATACGGGATTTGTAAAAGGAGAAGCCCCACGCCTCCTAAGAACGAATTTATCTCGCTCCACGTTTACTAAAATCGTACAGTTTCAAAATACCCTTTAAGAACAGAGGAATCCTAGATGAGGGTTTTTAGAAACATTTCTCAAGAGTTATTTCTGCAGGAGAGAAGTATACTTTAAAACAAAGAAAGCAGCACGCACACAGAAGAAAATATTGCCTTTTGTAACACAATCTCATCCGGCTTTGCCAAACCTCAAGAACATACAGATGGGGAAATTACACCTCAAAACTGACCCTTATTATTACATCGCAAAGGAAAATCATCAAGAGATATCCTAATAAGGGCTAAACTTTGAGGTTAGAAGATTTAAAAGCACTAGGTAGAGGTTTTCATAGATCAAGTGACTTTTTTCATTGCTCTTATTAGACTATCCTTCAGAAATGATCAAGATAGGAGAATCACCACACGACGCTCGCGATTAGTTAAATTTCCCCATAGTTTCCCCTCTACTAACTATGATTTCCCTCACTTAGGAAAGTAGATTTACAACACGATTGAGTACACACAATAAATGTCCTTGCAGTAATAATACTATGTAATGCAACGCACTAAACGCAACAATGGACCTTTTCGCTCCATAAAAGGGTCTCAAACACTATCACTCGAAATGCATAAAACATTTATACCATTGGAGTGCGTTTGAGTGCGTTTGGTTAGAGCTGTTGAAGAAGGATCAAAACATAGTTAACTAACTATGATCAAAGTGGCCATACAAATCTTTGAACGGCTTCAAACTACGACGTACAACGAGTTTTACCTTCTCGAAAACTGGTCTCAAATTAGATGCTAAAAAACAATGTTCCGTTTGTCCTTGAGAACGATAGATTCCTGCCGCTTTTACGGCCGTCTTGAAAATAACACTACCACGATGCAATGCAATTGGAGTGCGCACACCGCCTGGTCAGGGACATTCTCGTTTTGTGTCTGATTGCGATATATAGAGAAGAAGGTCACAAAGAACCGGAAATTGTCAGTGATGCCTGTCACGAAAACAAAAGGAAGTAAGACAGACAAAAGATCGTATTGATGACGCGGTCATGTTCAAGTAATAACCAATGAATGAGTTGCCAGTAATGGCATCTTGTTTCTGCGCAAAGATTTCTGAGATCGCCACATGGCAAACATTGCAACTTGCTGGAAGGAAACGCATGGTTGTTTCGATGTCCAAAAAAAAACGAGTTTGTACAGAGATCGACGCTCTTTCGCTGCATTTTTATCATAAATGCATTAAACTATTGTTGATACGAGGTAAGTGTAATTTTTTTGTTTGAATTACCGAAATATGTCATGAAATATACCGATGAACCTCTCTTCTTGCCTAAGGTATATTGTGAAACGCGACTGAATATATTCATATAGAGGTCTGCGCTGTATAAATGTAAATTATTAAATTATGTATCATGATAACATTTAATACTCAACCACACCATTTCAAACTTCTGCTGCCTCGCTGTAACTGTTGTAGCACTCTTGTATTACCAGACCGAGAAAAACAACAAGAGGTAGATTAAACACACGTAAATAGAACTGAAAAGGCTTTTTTAATTTATTTCTATTTCTAAATTTCGAGACCATTGAAGGATAAACCTTACGCAAGGAGAAAAGTTAATCGGTAGATTTTACCACGTACTATTTCATGGTTATTCACAATAAAACTTACGCTTCTCATGTATTAATATTACCCAAATCCATTTGTGATAAAACAGCGGCGAAACGGCGATGATCTCTCGCCGAAATCGTTCTTTTGGACGACGAAACAACCTTTTCTCTTGGGGGGTAGGGAGGGACTGTACACACGGGATAAATATAATAAAACTTTGTATTGGAGTTTAAGCTCAGCTCTGTAACTCCGTAAATAATAAAGCAAATTAACTATTACAGAAAGTACAGCTTTGAATGTGATTGGTTGACTTAAACTACAACCACCTCAGTTAAGTAACCACCTCTCATGAAACTGAAATTCCAAGTCAAAACACTCTAAATGGAACCTCTCGTATACGACCACCTCTCTCAGATACTTGTTTACAATTTCGGATCCTCGTGTTTGCGCAAAGATCTCTGGGATCGTTACGGGGCAGAAAGAAGCGTTTGGCGAAATTGCTGTTTCGACGTCCAAAAACCGATTTTGGTGAGAGATTATTGCTTTTTCGGCGCTATTTTATCAAAAATGGATTTGGGTAATGTTGATACAAGGGAAGATTAATTTTTTGTTGAAACAATAATGATTTGCTTTTCTCCCTGCGTTTATTGTGGGAATTGAAATCGCGTGGATGGTCTGCACATACTGCAAGGATCGGAAATGTCGATTGTGTTTCTATTTCTTTACCGGGCTCAAAACTTACCATCTTCCTTATTCTGTTTACAAAACATGACGCTATCGACTCTGCCGATCGATCCTAGCAGTATACAGGACACGTGTCAGATAATCAACTTTGCAATGTGCTTTGCTGAGTGAATGAGCACTGTTTCATCAGCTCAGTGGAAGAGCATCGGAGCGCGGAATCTGAAAGGCACGAGGTTCGATTTTTCATTGGGAATTTTTCATTTGCGGTTGATTTCAACCATTTGGCGGTTGATATTACTGAGTTGTTATTGTGATGGTTGATGGGAGAAAGTTATTCTTTTTGACAGCTGACGGTTAAAGTGTGACAAAAGTGTGACGTCTTACAAATCTCGTTTTTAAATTTCAGAGTGCTTCAGAACACTTCATCATGCACTGACTGGTGTAAATACCAAAGGGTAAAACTGAAAAGCATAACTGAACAGCATAGCTACACAACAACAACAACAACTCTTTCTGAAGCCACCATAACTGTTTCCTGAAGCAGAGAAAGCAAGCAAGAACGGTGAGATGTGTTCTTAAATCTCTACTTCTTGCAGGATGTTATTACCGGGATCATATATATTAATCTATGGTGTGATTAAGGTTTCAATAGCTGTTTCATTTCTTATATTAAGTTATTTTTTAAGCGAAGAGTTCCGAAACTTCCGCTTGTGTTCACGTTCGGTGAATCGCTGTGGTTGTACCTTCGGTCTGCATACCGAACATGCTATGTTCAGGACTAGAACGGTCAGGCTCCTGATCTGCTAAACTTTAATTTCAAGAAAGATACTTTTTCGTCTTTTACCGAGCCTCGGTCAAAAGAGAAAAGATTTGAGTTTCCGAGAGGAATCGAATTTATAAAAGACCTTCGAATTCTGCGCTCTCACCGATGCCTTCCCACAGAACCACCAGAGACTCTCCAGAGAGTCGCTAAGTCACTATTTGGTGGATATCTTCAAGATATTATATCTGGGATCATATGTTTAAACTACAGTGTAATTATAGTTAACATAGCTGTTTTATTTCTCCTACTTAGTCATTTCATAGGCGAACATCTCCGAAACAAGCGCCTAGGTCCACGTTCGGTAAATCATTGTGGTTCTATTTTCGTTCGCACGCTGGCAGGCTATGCTCAGGACTAGAAAAATCAGGTCCTCGAAGCTCTGCTTAATGCCAAAGAAAGATAGTTCTCGCCTTTTACTGAGCGTGGGTCAAAGAGAAAATTCTGAGTTTCCAACAGGAATCGAACTTATGAAAGACATTCGGATTCGGTGCTCCGACGCCTTACTACTGAACCACAAGAGACTCGCCAGAGAGTCACTAGGTTCATAACTTCATTTATAATCCATCAAACATAGTTTACGCTCAAATGTCTTGCATACTGCAATACTAGTTGTGTTGCTTACACCCATGGTATCGGTAACCTAGGTTTTGCATGAAAACGTCTCGGCGTTAAATAATATCCTCCCCTTTAAATGGTCGAAATTATAGATATAGATTAAATATCCGAATTACGTGTTTATCAAGCTTCACTAACATATATAGA